TCCTCCTTAGGCTTTCTGAATGGTGCTGAGTTTGACCCGAAGACTTCGGGGTGTCAGCACAGCCTTAGCAGTCTAGACAAAAATGCTGTAGTTCCATTTGTAGAGCACGTGGCTCCTATGAAGGCCTGGATTGACCCCTCCCCCTGCCCTCACTAGCTGTTAATACAGAGCAAGTTCCAGGATAGCCAAGGTTATGCAGAGAAACCCTGTCTCAAGAGAACATTTTAAACCGGGCAGTGATGGCACACACCTTTAATCCCAGCCCTTGGGAGGCAGAGGCAGAAGGATCTCTGTGAGTTTGAGGCCAGCCTGGTCTACAAGAGCTAGTTCCAGCAGGACAGGCTTCAAAGTTACAGAGAAACCCTGTCTCGGGGGGGGGGGAAGGTTTGAAGAAATGTCCATGATGGGCAAGACACAGAGAACTTTAGTACGACCTTGGAACCAGAGTCAAATAATCCAAACTGCCTTGTGAGGCGGAGTTGGGGTCCATTCTAGAGCGATGTGCCAACTATCTGTAGTTCTGCATGGGCTATCCTACCTGTCTCTGATTTCAGTCTCGTCCAAAGGAGGCCCTGCCAGGTTTTCCAGACTGGAGTCAGAGATGAATTAGGTTGGATATGAACTAAATCAGTGGTCCTCTAAACGCTTTCACTCCAACCTGAAGCCTAGTCTAGAGCAGCTGGTGTTAGTTCTGGTGCCAGGACTGTGTGTGGAGTAACAGCTACAGTTACAGAAATCTGGGCCACAGATGCCATCTTCCAGTAATTCACCAAAAATGCCAAACACAAAAGGAAAGAAGAAAGCCACCCTCTGTAACTTCTCCAGGCCTTTTCTTTGTTTGTTTTGATTTTATATGTCTGTGTACCCCAGACATGCCTGGTGCCTGCAGAGGATAGAAGAGGATGTCAGACCCTCCAGAACTGAAAATATAGATGACCTGTGGATGCTATAAATCAAACTCAGTTCAAGTCCTCCGGAAGAGCAGGCACTGCTTTTAACCACTGACCCATCTCTCCAGCTCTTTCTAGGCCTTTTAGGAAATATAGATTTGCTGCTTTGACCACGTATATACAAATCTATGAAAAGGATAATACTGTAGACATCAGGAAGATGGGCACTATTCAGAAAGGAAGGCCTCATAAATATTACCCTGGCAAAACTGTTTACAATATCACGCAGCATGCTGCTGGCTTTGTTGTAAATAGGCAAGTCAAGGGCAAGATTCTTGCCAAGAAAATGTTCAGACTGAGTATTATTAAGCTCTCTAAGAGCCAAGATAGCTTCCTGAAATGGGTGAAGGAGAACAAGAAAAACAAAAGAGAAAAAGAAAAATAAATAAAAGAAAAGGAAGCCAGAGTAAGGTCAACTGAAGCAAATAATACCAGTCTCTTCCAGTCAGAGATACTCACTTGGTGGGAACTGACTGGGAAGGAGCCCAGGCTGCTGGAGCCTGTTCCCTGCAAAGTCAAGGCTTATGAAAATTCTAGACTGAGGCAGGCAGTGGTGGTGCACACCTTTAATCCTAGCACTCAGGAGGCAGAGACAGATCTCTGTAAGTTCGAGGCCAGCCTGGTCTACAAGAGCTAGTTCCAGGACAGGCTCCAAAGCTACAGAGAAATTCTGTCTTGAAAAGAAAGACAGACCTTGGGGGCTCAGTCCAATGCTCCAATGTGGTTCTCTGTCTCAATCTCCATCCATCAACGGGTGAAGGTTCCCTCTGGTGTTGCCTTCTTTGCTCACGTTCTCTTTCCTTCTGCTTCTCGTTTGGACCAAGGGAGTTAAGTCCAGTGTTCCAATGTGGGTCTCTGTCTCTATCTCCATCCATCGCCAGATGAAGGTTCTATGGTCATATGCAAAATATTCATCAGTATGGTTATGGGCCAAGGCCGGTTCAGGCACCCTCTCCTTTGCCCAGAAAACAATCCATTGACAATGACACTGGGACTTGTTTCCTCTGCATATACTGGATTTTTGGGATCCAGTCTGTTTGGATGCTCACCTTCCTGGACCTGGAGGGAGGGGGGAGGAACTTGAACTTCCCACAGGGCAGGAAACCCTGACTGCTCTTAGGGATGGAGAGGGAGGAGGAGAGGGAGTGGAGGGAGTGGGAGGGTGTTGGGAGGAGGGGCGGAAATGGAAACTTTTATAAATTAATAAACTTTAATAAAAAAAGAATATACGAATATAAAAAAAGAAAAGAAAGAAAGAAAGGCAGGAAGGCAGGAAGGCAGGAAGAAAGGAAGGAAAGAAAGAAAGAAAGAAAGAAAGAAAGAAAGAAAGAAAGAAAGAAAGAAAGAAAATCCTAGACTGTAATCTAAGAAGGAATGGGATCAGCCAAACCTACTTCCAGGGCCACTCTTTCCCTGAAAGCCCCATTCTGTTGACTGTCCATTTCCCCAGATCACTTTGACCACATCAAGGCAGTGATTGGACCTGAGTTCATCGGGATTGGTGGAGATTACGATGGCGCCGCGCGGTGAGTATTTCAGATCCGTGGCTGATCTGAAGCTGCTCTCGCCGCATCAAGGTCCTCACGGCCTTTAGGCTTTGCCCATTTGACATCTCTCCATCCCCAGGGCTCTTTCCTGTGCTCTCGTGTATGTCTTCAGCCCAAGGCCCTCATTAAGGTACTTTGAGAAAGCTCATTTTTTTAGCCCGTGCACCCACTGCAGACCTCTGAGCGGACTATCTTCTCTGCCAGCTGTTGTTCTCGGTGCTGTTGTTAAGACAGGGTTTCTCCGTGTAGCCCTGGCTGTCCTGGAACTCACTCTGTAGACCAGGCTGGCCTTGAACTCAGAGATCTGCCTGCCTCTGCCTCCCAAGTGCTAAGATTAAAAGTGTGCACCACCACCGCCGCCCGGCTTCTCTGCCAGTTCCCAGGAAACTTCTTGCCTTCATTCCCACCCTCCCTTCCTTTTATGTTTGTTTGTTTGTTTGTTTCTATTTTGGACACAGGATCTCACTATGAATCCCAAGCTGGTTTCAAACTATTTCTTTTCTTTTTTTGAGAAGTTGAGGGTTTCAAGCCAAGGTTTCTCTCTGTAACAGTCCTAGCTGTCCTGGAACTAGATCTTGTAGACCAGGTTAGCTTCAAACTCACAGAGATCCACCTACCTCCCTCACAAATGCTGAGATTAAAGGTGTTCGCCACCACTGCCTGGCTATTCCTTTTCTTTTTTTAAAAAAAAATATTTCTTACTGGGGAAGTGGAGTGGGTGTGCATACTAGGGCACACGCGTGGTAGGAGTCAGTCCTTTCTTCTCCCGTGTGGATTCCAGAGACGGCACTCAGGTTGCCAGGCCTTTAGTCACTGAACCAATTATTGGCCCCTGCTTTTGTTTCTTCAGTATTCTTTTCTCTTTTCCCAGTTCTAGGAATCAACTTCAGATTTTTTTTTAAACAGAGGGCATATTTGCATTTATTAGAGAGCATAAATCTTTTCTTGTTTGTTTGACTTTGAAACAGAGTTTCACTATGTAGCCCTGATAGGCCTCAAACTCAGATCTGAAGCCTGCCTCAGTCTTCCAAGTGCTGGAATTAAAGGCGCACAAAGGCGCACACCACCCCTGCCCGACTGGAAGGCATAAATCTTAAAGCACCATTTAGGGAGTTTTAGGAGCTATTCAAGGAAGGGGCTAGGAGTGATAGGGCACTTGCTTATCTAAGAGTCCCAAGGTTTGATTTATAGCACTGCCTATTTTTTTTTTTAAAAGAGATTTTGAGACCTCTGAAGAATTAGGTTGGAGCAAACTACTTACCCCTTCCTAGTCTCCAGCCCCACATATGACCATTGCTGAGGGTGCAACTCAGATAGAGCTGAGGTTTTCAGTTGGATTAGGATACCGGTCTGAGGCTCGCCTGCTGGTGACTACACAGGTTCCCTCAGGGGCTGGAGGACGTGTCTACATACCCAGTGCTCATAGAGGAGTTGCTGAGACGGGGCTGGAATGAACAGGAGCTGCAGGGTGTCCTTCGAGGAAACCTGCTGCGCGTCTTCGGACAGGTGGAACAGGTATGGTGAGGCGGCAAGGGAGCGGGGCATGGATCTGTGCAGGGGCCTTCGTAGCATTAGCGGGCTACAGGAGACCCGGAAGAGCTGCTGACTGACAACTGTCACCTCCAGGTCCGGGAGCAAAGCAGATGGCAAAGTCCTCTGGAAGACATGATTCCAGAAGAGCAGCTGGACAGTGCTTGTCACTCAGTCTTGCCACGTCGACAAGAGAAACGGCAAAAGGAAAAGAACCAATCAGAGATCCCAACACATCATACACTCAAGTTATCATCCAAGGAGTTACACTCAAAATCTTCTCCCCACATAGCCCCAATCCTCACCATTGTTACAGCCTTTCTAGGCCTCATTGTATGACTTTGTGATCCACGCAGCCCTCTCTGTTATCATTCTGGTACCCTCGATTCCCCTCCACTTGTGCAGGAGCAAACATTTAATGGAAGTAAATGTGTTTAATGTAGAAACAGATGTGAGCGTCCTTCTCTGTGGCAGATCAGGGTAACACGGGCTCCCAGTGCTCGTGGTCTGTGGAACGTGGCCTTTCAGCCACCATTTGCTCAAGGAAGTTGTCAGTGATCAGTACCACCTAGGTGGCCGGGCCCAACACCGGATGAAGCTGATGGGTTGGGTCTGGCTTCAGGGAGAGGTCTGGAATTTAGGGGTCATTCTGATCATTTCACCTCAATACACAAACTGAACCACTGATTCCCACCATACAATCTCTCAAGCAATTCTTTAGGTTACTAAGAAGGGAACCTGGCTGGACCATGAGTAACCTTCATTCTTCTTGGGACAAAGACCAGAACTCCAGGACACATAATGGGTCATGGGCCTCTGCTGGTTGGACAGGTTTTGATGTGGTGATCTTTCAGCAGTCAGGAAGGTCCTCTTTACCAGGTACAAACTGCTTAGGCATCCATGCCATCCAACGCCCAGGGCCTGACTGCAAATTAATAGCAGCTGCAATAATAATAACAAGCAATATTAAGAGCTAATACTGGGCTCTTTTGTAGCTTAGTTGGTAGAGCGCTTGCCCAGCATGCAGCATGTGCAGCACTGCATAAAACCAGGCCTGTTGCTGCACATCTGCGGCTCTAGCACTTGAGAGGTAGAGTCGGGAGGAGCAGAAATTTCAAGGTCAGGCCGAGCTGGGGAACCAGCCTGGGGTACTGGGGAACTTGTCTCAAAAATAAATAAATAAACAAATAAATAAATACTAAATAAACAAATGAAAGCTGGTGCAATAGCTCTGGAAGTGAAGTGCTTGCCCTACAAGCAAGCATGAGGACCGAAATTCAATCCTTCAGACTCAAACTTTAAAAAGCCCAAGAGATGGAGATGGCTCAGAGGTTAAGAGCAGGGCACTAGGATACCCCAGATCTTGGTCTGACTCTTCTTGAACTCTCTGTCTCTTGCGAGCCCTCCTGGGTGCTGGCTTCTCTTCCTCAGCCTTTGCCGGGGTGGCCAGCGGAGCATCCCCATAGACACGGTAGCCTCCAATCAGGCAGTATGTCTCTCCATGCCAGGCTATCTGGGCTTGTGCGTGCTCTCTGTAGAGGACATGGTAGTATCCGGGGGAAGGGGGGGCTGTGGGAGGAATGGGTGCTGCAGGGAAAACCAGAACTGATCAGTCCCTCCTGCTCCATCCTCTGTGCTGCAGAGCCCTTCCTCTCAGGTCCCTTCCTGTCTCTGCCTGAAGCCCTCCTGTCTGCTTGGCATCCTAGACACAGCCTTGCCTGTCACTGCCGTGGGTCCCCTTGGAGGGAGCTTCTGTAAGAGCACTTGGCTTCTGGGGAGCCAGTGGCAGCTGTGTGAGGCCTGCATGTGTGGCCCATCTCCATAAAGAACGGTAGACCCTCAAGCTAGCTACAGCTGAGACCCCCCCCTTCGTTTCTCCTCCCACAAATGAGAAGGATTTCTAAAAGCCTGCTGTTTCTGGGCTGTAATGAGTATGTTTGGAAAAGCGGTGTAAGATAAATTTGTTAAGAACTCCTCCCATCGTGGTTGGCCGCCCCTCTTGGGATCTGTTCATTCCAGCTACACTTAACAGTAGCCCTGTTTTAGCTAGGTTTCAGTATGCTGTTTTCTTTTTTGAGACATTATTTTAACATACTGAGAGCTGTAACTGTGATTGACCTTGAATTCTAACTCTCTCTCTTTCTCTCTCGTATTTATTTGTGTTGTGTAGTTGCGTTTGTGGGTGCATGTGCCTGGGCAGGCATAGAGGCTAATGCCAGAGGAGGGCAACCCGTGTCCTACCCTATTATTTTCTACCTTTGAGGCCTGGTTTCAAATTGAACCTAGAAGTTCTTTTTAGCTAGGTTGGCAACCTCAAGGCCCCAGCAATCCTCATCTTCTGCCCTCACATCACTGGGCTTACAGGTAATTTGAGGCCATACCCAGTGTGTTACCTGGGTCCTCTGAGCTGGGCAACAAGCTTTCTTAAGTGTGGAGCCATCACTCTACCTCACTTCATTTTTAAAATAAGATTCTTTTTTTTTTTTTTTGCAAGTTCATGGTGTAACCCTGGCTTCCCTAGAACTAGCTCTGTAGACCAGGTTTGACCTCAGACTCACAGAGTTGAAGAGGAACTTTTCCTTATGATTAAAGGCATGCGTCACCACACCCCAAATCAAAGATTACCTCTCACACATTACTCCAACTTCCTGAGACACCGTTTCCCCTTTTTCTTTTTTTAATATAGGGCTTCTCTCTGTAACAGCCCTGCCTCTGCCTCCCAAGGGCTGGGATTAAAGGTGTGTGCTCCAGCACCAGGGAAGATACCTTTTCCTTACTCCTCCATTCCCAACATGACTTCCCCTCCACAAGCCCTACCTCCTGTGTCTTCCCATGTGTATGACGCCTTTTCTCTAACACTCAGCAGCTTCCACTTACAGGCAGCAGAGGGTCAGCATGTGTTTTCCAGGACAGCTCAGGAAAGCCCCTGAAGGTTTCAACAGCCTTTCCCAAGCTCTTCCATTCACCACTGGGCAATAAAGTACATTGTTTCTGTTGAGTCTCATCAAGAAAGGGTCTGGCCAGACATGGGGTGTGTGCCTCTAATCTTAGCTCTTGGGAAGGAGAGGCAGGAGGATTGCCACAGTTTGGAACCAGCCTTATCTCAATGGAGATGTTGTGGGTTACCTGGGTTACATAGGAAAACTGTATCAAAGATTTTTTTTTTAAAAAAAAAGTCTAATGAAAGCACTTTATATACCAAAGAAAAGGCTAAATTAATAAGATGAGGGGCTTTCCAAATAAACACTTGCCTAGAGATGGAATGTCATTCGCCCTCAATATTGAACAATAACTGGTCCCTAAATGGGACCAGGCTGTGGTGGTTTGAATAAGAACGATAGCTCTAGTCAGGTGGTGGTGGTGCACATCTTTAATCCTAATACTTGGGAAACAGAAGCCGGTGGATCTCTGAGTTTGACGACATCCTGGTCTACAGAGTGAGTTCCAGGAGAGCGAAGGCTACAAGAAAAACCCTCTCTGGAAGGGGGCAGGGATGGCCCCTATAGCCTGGCCCTGGTAAAAACAAAACAGCACCAAAACAACAGAGCCCCCACAGGCTCATATATTTGAGTGCTTGGTCTTCATTTAGTAGAACTGTTCCAGAAGGGAACTGTTTAGAAGGTTTGGCCTGGTCAGAGGTGGCTTGTCAGTGTGGGGTGAGGACTTTTTTCTTGAGAGAGGGTCTCACTATGTAGCTCTGGCTGTCCTGGAACTCGCTTTGTAGACCAGGCTGGCCTTGAACTCACAGAGATCCACCTGTTTCTGCATCCCAAGTGCTGAGTACCTTTATTTATTTGCTTGGTTGGGTATTTTTTTTTTTTCGAGACAGGGTTTCTCTGTAACTTTGAAGCCTGTCCTGGCTCTTGTAGACCAGGCTGGCCTCGAACTCACAGAAATCCACCTGCCTCTGCCTCCCAAGTGCTGGGACTAAAGGTGTGTGCCACCACCACCCAGCCCTTGTTTGTTTATTGATTGATTGATTGCACAGAGTCTCACTCTATACAGACTATGTATCCCAGAAATTGCTACATACCCCAATCTGATCTCAAACTCACTACAATTCAGCCTCAGTCTCCCAAGTGCTGGGATGCTGGGATTACAGGTGTGTGTCACTATGCCAGGCTTCATAAAACATCATTATTATTCTAAACTATCAAGTTCAAATATCCATGATTGTTCAATTTTTATAGTTGATTATTTGAATCTTAGTATTCTAAAGATATTTCATATTGTATGCAGTTGTTATGACTTAATCTGTAGGTGGGTCTTCCTCCTTTAAAAGAATTAGTAATTCCTTGCAATTGGATTTGTTTTGTTTTTGAGACAGGGTCTCACGATACAGCCCCAGCTCGTCTAGAACTCTATGGAAACCATGCTGGTCCCTAACTCACAGAGATCCACTTGTCTCTGCCTACTCTGTGGAATGTGGGGACTAAAGGCAGGCACCACCACACCCAGGATGAAACTGACATTAAAAAAGAATACTGGTTTTGTCCTTGGTATTTTCTGGGTTTTGTTTTGTTGTCTTTTAAAAATTTTTTGGAAATATATTTTCATCGATATATTCTATCACAGTTTCCCCTCCCTCAACTCCTCTCACCCCATTTTCCGTGTTTTTGAGTTTACTGATTACACCCTAACAGTGTAATTTAGTGTGTTCCTCTGTTTCCTGTTTCCTATATACTGGCAATTTGGGGAAGTTTTTATTTACCTGTTTGTTTACAGGTGTGGAAGCCTTTTATTACTTAACCTGTCCTTCAGGTTGTGGCATGAGGAATCCTCCTGCCTCAGCCTCCTAAGTAGCTATACTACAGACATGCACCAATGTAGCCAGCTATTAGAGGCTTTTAACTGTGTATTTCTGGGCCTTCAGTTTCAAAACTGGTATGAGTGCTAGGATCTAGCATTCATTTTAAAATTATTTATTTATTTATTTAATGTCAGCCACCATGTGGGTTCTGGGAATTGAACCTAGTTCCTCTGGAAGAGCAGTCAGTGCTCTCTCCAGCACCTACTTATTTTATGTGTAAGAGTTTTGCCTTTACATATGTATGTGCACCATGTGTATATCAGCTATCCTCATCAGATACCTGGAACTGGAATTACGATGGTTGTGAACCACTGTATGGGTGCTGGGAACTAAACTTTGACCCGCTGCAAGAACAAGTGTTATTAACCACTGAGTCACCTCCCTAGCCCCTCTCAAGAGTCCTAAGTGAGTTTGTTTTGTTTTTGTCCCTTGTCTCAGAACTGTCAAACTCTTGGGTCTCTCCAGTGACCCCACATTGGTCTTCGCACAGATTATCAGAGGCCCTGTGGTGGGCTAACAGGGTCTTCCCATGGAGAAGACTCTAGGAGCCCCAGGCCTGTATCGCCATCCCCTAGCTTCATTATGGGAACTTCGTGGTATTGCCTGAGGAAGAAGCATCCGTCCTGCTGCTCTGGCTCCTGAAGCTGGCTGTGCTGTCTCCAGGGCAGACTGACTAGTACGAAAGACAGTGAGTTGCTTATAATAGCTGCTTCCTGTTCCAGGTGACTGATGTGGGTAGTCCTGGACTACACACCCAACTCTACGCTGTTCCTTCTCTGCTCACAGCCCTCCCTCCCCTTCCTTAGGACCAGCTGTCCACTTCACCACTGGGAGACATTCCTCTGTTCGCACTCGTCGCTTTACCTAGCTTGCGGCAGCCAGAGTAACCTTGTCAGCTTCTATATCAGATGTCCTAACTGTCTTGTTCAGGTTCCTCCTATAACTCCCCTTCAGACCAAAGCCAAAAGCAGCTCTCCTCACCACAGCTGCCAAAGCCTTCTGTAGCCTGTCCAACACCTACTCCCGTCACAACATTTGCTGCTCTGGATCTTTCCTCACCGCTGCTGGAACAGGTTGGCCTCATTTCTGTCTCACGGTATTTACACATGCTGTCTCCTCCAGGAAAACTTTCACTCTGGCTCCCAAGACTCCCTCGCTACCTTCTCCGCTGAAGCCTTCCCTTAGTACTTAGTCTAACAGAACATCCCTTATTTCTCTTTCTTCCAGGCAGGGCGACATGGCTCCGGTTTGCACACAGCTCACTATGGAGTCCAGACTGGCCTTGAGCTCTCAGTCCTCCTTTCATCAGCTTAGCAAGTGCTGGGATTACAGGCATGGCCACCACACAGAGCTTTGTTCTAGTAATTATCTGAAGTTGTAGTGTGTGGGAGGCCTTGCTGTTGAAGGTCACACTCAGAGTCTTGCACATGCCTGTCAAGTGCTCTGTTACTAAGCTACAATTCCCATCACGGATACCTGCATATTCTATTACTTATTTTGATCAGTCTATTTTTTTTTTCGAGACAGGGTTTCTCCATGTAATACCCCTGACTGTCCTGGAACTCACTCTGTAGACCAGGCTGACCCCAAACTCACAGAGATCTGCCTGCCTCTGCCTCTCAAGTGCTGGGAGTAAAGGCAAGTGCCACCACTACCCAGCATACCCTAATTTCTTTTTTAAAGACAAAGTCTTGCTATGTGTCCCTGGATAGCTTGGAGCTCAGTGTATAGACTAGGCTAGCCTCAAACGTGCTAGGATCATCTTGCTTCTGCCTCCGGAGTTCTGACATTACAGTGGTTCTCCATCAAGTCCAGTCTGTCCCATCTCCTAGTTCTGAGTGACTTGAGGCACACTAGATGGCATAACAACCCTTGTTCAATAAACAGATAGATGGATGGGGTTGGCTAATGGGCTAGCGTCAGTCCTGCCTCTCCTGCACTCACGTAACAGCCCGTGCAGCCTGTTAGGATGAAGTTCTTTTTGCCTTAGGCTCCATTTTTGACTTTATTCTGAGTTGTCATTGAGTAACTTCTAATACTGTTGTCTTTATTTTTTTAATTATTTATTGCTTAGGGTTTGTTTATGCGGAAGCAAGGACGATAGCCCAGGCTAGACTAAAGCCATTGTGTCGTACAGAACAGAACGCCCTCTATTTCAAGACACTTTTCCCGCCTCGGGCTTTCCGTAGCCGGGATGTTGGCAGGAACTACTGCTGCCCAGCTGCTCCTGCCAGTTAAAGCGGAGGGAACGGATCACAGAGTTGCAGCAAAGGTACAAGGTGACACTGAGGTGAGCTCCAACGTGAATTCTGAAAGCTGTATTCACCTTTCTAGATTGTAGAAACAAAGGAAAAGGAGCGGGTGCCAGTGGGAACTAGACACTTACGGAGCCTCATGGTGCTGAGCCAAATTTTTTTAATTGTTATTTGGGTTGTTTTTTTTTTTTCTGAGATAATCTTGCTGTGTAACCTAGGCTATCTTCAGACTTCTGACAATCCTCCTGTCTCAGCCTCCTGAGTCTAGGGATCACAGGCATGTACCCGCATGTCTTTGTTATGAGACTCTACGTCTGCCCTGCAGGCGGAGATGCTCTAATGCCAAGGCAGGTCTGTGACAGTCAAAAGAAACTGGCAAGCAGAGCCAACCACTGCTCCTGAGGGTGACGAGAGGAACAGGAACAACAGGAAAGACACCCCTCTTTCCTCCTCCTCTCAGTGTCGGCTGAGTGGCCCTGTGGCAAGGAGTCTTAGTAATGTGATTCCAGCACTGATTGCTTCCAGTTCAAGCCCCAGCATCACGATGTGTATCCTTCAGCAGAGGTAAGGCAGCTCTACTGGTAAAGAAGCCATTACTTAGCAGATGCAGAAAAGCCAGACTCCAGGAGGAGCGCAGGGAACCCTGCCAAAGGGGGTGGTAGTGGTGAAGGATTGGAGAAGCCAGAGGGGCCAAGGACACCATGAGAACACAGCACATAGAATCAATTAAGCGGAGCTCATAGGGGATCATGGAGACTGAATTGGCAATCATGGAGCGTGTATGGGTCTGAGATAGATCCTCTGCATATACGTTATGGGTGTATTCTTGGTATTCTTGTGGGACCCCCACAGTGGGAGTAGGAGTGTCTCTGACTCTTTTGTCTTTTCCTCCTACTGGGTTGCCTGGTCCAGCCTTGATATGAGGGTTTGTGCCTGTTCTTATTGTAAATTGTTATGCCATGTTCAGTTGACATCCCTGAAAGGTCTGCTCTTTTCTGAAAGGAAACAGAAGAGTGGATCTGGGGAAAGTGGGAGACGGGGAAACTGGGAGGAATAGAGGAAGGGGAAATTGCAGTCAGTATGTAATGTATGAGAGAAGAATAGAAAAAGGAATTGCTTAATAAACACAATTGCAACATGCCTAGGGACTCTAATTCTGAATCATCCAGCCTCCGAGGATGCATTCCTCATGTTCCAGCTCAAAACAGAGAACATATTTATCAGGGTTCCCATCGTGTTGAATGTGCGTCTTTGTCTCCACAACATCCGTAGAGAAAGAGATAGCCCAAAGGTAGATCCTACTGAGCAATCCTCCAACCCTCTTTTATGTCTTCTAAATGTTTTTTCTGCTTTCAAGAAGACTTTTTTAAGATAGGGTCTTCCTCTGCAGCCTTGGCTAGCCTGGAACTCACTGTATAGACTCAGGCTAGCCTGTCTCAGAGATCTGTTCACCTCTGCTTCATTGGTGCTGGGATTAAAGGCATGTGCCACTATACCTGGCTAAGAAGATAGGTTTTTATTTTGTTTCATTTTTTTTTCTTTTTGAGACAGGGTTTCTCTGTGTAGGCCTGGATGTCCTGGAACTCCCTTTGTAGACCAGGCTAACCCTGAACTCACAGAGATCTGCCTGCCTCTGCCTCCCGTCTGTGTGCCACCACTTCCCACGGAAAGTAGTTTTTTTTTAATGTCCTTATCTACTCAAATATGGTAGTGGGGTTAAACCTAGGCCATCGTACATGTTAGGCACTCGCTCTACCTCTGAACTGCACCTTTTGTTTTACTTAGCTTTTTTATCTCCGTTTGTAAAAATTATTTTATTATTATCATGTGTGTGAAAGAAAGGAGGCAGTGACTACCTACCATGACATTCCTATTGAGGTCAGAGGACAACTTCCTCCTTACTGAGGCAGGGTCTTTCTTCCCTGCAGGGGTGCTGAGGTTACAGATACATGCCACTGCATCTAAGTCTTTTTTAAAGATGAGATATGCGGGGCTGGAGAGATGGCTCAGTGGTTAAGAGCACTGACTGCTCTTCTGGAGGACCTGGGTTCAGTTCCCAGCACCCACATGGCAGCTCACAACTGTCTGTCACTTCAGTGCCAAGGGATCTGACACCATCACACCAATGCACATAAAATGAATCTAAATAAATTATTTTTTTAATAATGAGATATGCACATAGAACTCAGGTAGTCTGGCTGGCATAGCAAATGCTCGTACTCAGAGCCATCTCGATGCCCTTCACCTTCTTTATGAGAACAGCAGAAATTTATTATTACCATTTTGTTTATGGACTTTCTGAGTGATTTGTTTGTATGTAAGTCTGCTCACCAGAAGAGGGCATCGGATCCATCACTGATGGTTGTGAGCTGCCATGTGGCTGCTGAGAATTGAACTCAGGACCTCTAGAAGAGAAGACGGTGCTCTGAACCACTGAGCCACCTCTCTAACCCTAGAAATTTAGTAAGAAACCATTTTAGTGTATCTTGGAAGAGATGTTTCAGGAGGGAGAGAGATGTTTAGGGAAAGCTAACTACAGTCAAATGCAGACGCAGGTTTCTCAGCGGAGAATCATAGTTTAGTTTGCTGGTTACCTGGTTTGAGACAAGGTCTTACTCTTTAGTTCAGGTTGGCCTAGGAGTCTGTGTAGCCCAGGTTGGCTTTGAGTGTTCTGAAACCCTCATGCCTCCGTCTTCCAAATGCTGGGATTATGTGTGTGAGCTACTACGCATGATGTTTTATTCTGATGCAGGATATTGCTTTATAGCCCAAATCGGCTTCAAACTCACAGCCCTGCCCTTACCTTCTGATCGCCGGGATTTTACACTTGACTAGACAAGATTTCTTCTGTTAGTGGCGATGTGACAGTGCTCATATTGTCGATAACTTGAGTTCAGGAGCTCCAGGCTAGTCCCAGCAACACAGCGAGACCCCACCACAAAAACAAGTCTAGAAAACCTAACAAAACCCACACAGATCTAACTTACTACTCTAAGCGGAACTTAGCATGATATTTGACCCTATTGAGGATAAGTTACATTTGGGCGTTAACACGTTTACGTAACGGCTATGGGGTGAGATTAGTTAGATTTCTCGCCCTTCCCTTATTGTTCCCCGCTAGTCTCCCTCCTCCTTCATCTCAGCCGGAAACCAGAAGCAGTGAGTGAGTAGGTGGATGCTGCAAGCAGAGACCCGCCAGGCCCAAGGGGGCGCCCTTCTACTTGGGGGAGCGGAAGAGCGGTGGTGCCCTCTAGCGACTGCACTGCGCTTCTAGGGGTGGAAAGTTCCAGAGCGTCCGTTGCACAGCCGTGTGACTGCAAGCTTTTCCAAGCGAGGCCGCGTCCTAGGCACCCTGAATCGAAGGTCAGAACCCCATTGACACCCTCTGTCCTATCCCAGCCCTTCTCAGGCTTTTGTGACCAAGCCTGAGCAACATGCAGCCCGCGGGTCTTGAGGGTCTCCGCGCGCTCGGCCTACGGCCTCTGGGGCCCTGGCTGTTCCTGCTGGAGGTGCTACTTGTAGTTCCGCCTCTGTGGGTAACCTGCACCCCGACCACTCGGAGCATCTCCAGCTTTTCGACCACACTGGCGACCTCCAGTGCCAATGCCACTCCGGGCACTTTCAATGCCTCCACCACACCTGGCATGACCAGTGACCCTCGACTTCGAGAGCAAGCACTGGCCCTGATGGGAAACTTCCCGCTCGTGGATGGGTGCGTATGTGCCGGCGTGGGACCGAAGAGGGCTAAGCTTGCTGGGAGGCGGTGACGCATGTTTTTAATCCCAGCACTCGCGGGTGGCAGAGGCAGGCGGATCTCTGTGAGTTTTAGGCCAGCCTGGTTACAGAGCGAGTTCCAGGACAGCCAGGACTGTTTCACACAAAAACCCTGTCTCGAAAAACCAAAAGAGAGGGCTAAGCTTACCCTTAGACTATTGATGAGGCCCCTTCACACCTTCGCTGGATGGCCTTTCCCTTCTGTCGTTCATGGGTGCCCCTTCTCCCTTTGGCGCCATTGCCTGTGGAAATGCTTTCCAACTTGGCTTGAAGGAGGTGGTGCCTGGTGAGGTAGGGGAGAAACAATACCCGGGCTGAAGCTTCTGACCTGGAGACCATGTTCTCACACTGACCACATCTTCAGCCATAACGACCTGCCTCTGCGCCTGAGAGAACTCTTCCAGAATAAGCTGCAGGATGTGAATCTGCGCAATTTTACCCGCGGCCAGACCAGCCTGGATAGGCTTAGAGAAGGCCTTGTGGGCGCCCAGGTAACCATGCCAGAAGAATGGGGACGTTGCGGGACACAGAAACCTGAGTAGGCCAGGCCCTAGACGGCTAGGTACTTGGGGCATGCAGTACACCGTCATGCAAATACAAGGATGTATGAGGACATGGAAGACCAACACAGATGAGCTGCACAGATGCTCAGGTTCAGGGGAATACATAGAAAAGAACCAGAAAACCCCTGGAGAGTGTGGAGGTTGAAGTTGCTAGAACCACAAAAGATATGGTAGCCTTGCCTGGGACATTCACACGGGATCATGGACAGGCAACGGCTATGTCATTAGTCCACAGCTTATTCACCGGCTGCCAAGCTTAATACTCATGAGGACACTATGGGGAACCATTGGCTTACATGGCTGCTGTCGGGGCTGAGGCAGAAACGGTGGGCCTAAGAGACCATATTGGCTTCATTGTGGACCTCTGGACCTCCCTCTAGTTCTGGTCAGCCTACATCCCATGCGAAACCCAGGACCGGGATGCTGTGCGCCTTGCCCTGGAACAGATCGACCTCATTCGCCGAATGTGCACTGCTTACCCTGAGCTGGAGCTTGTGACCTCAGCTGAAGGTGAACTGGGACACAGCCTGGGATGACACCAGTGGCTCTTTTCTGCTTATTTAATTATTTATTTTATTTTTTTCCCCATTAAAAAATTTACACTTCCTCCCCTCCCCCACTCCTCTCCCACTCCCCCACTCCCCCTCCTCCTTCCCCCTCCCTCCTTAAGAGAGGGCAGGGAACCCTGCCCTGTGGGAAGTCCAAGGCCCTCCCCCTATATCCAGGCCTAGGAAGCTTTGCATCCAAATAGACTAGGGTCCCAAAAAGCCAGTACATGCAGTGGGTCCCATCAGATGTGGCTGTTGGACTCACCACTCTTTTCTAGGTCTGAATAACACTCGGAAGCTGGCCTGCCTCATTGGCGTCGAGGGCGGTCACTCACTGGACACCAGCCTCTCAGTGTTGCGCAGTTTCTACAAGCTTGGAGTGCGCTCCCTGGCACTTACCTTGACCTGCAGCACACCCTGGTAAGCATGGTGCCTGGCCCCGGTGGCATGGCAGACGGTGTGGTGAGGAAACTTCTCTCCGTGGCATGGACCTGGCAGAAGCAATGACAATAAAGTGATCTGCGCGCGTGGGGAGGGTGAGGGTGAGAGGAGGGGAGAGGTCTCCCAGCAGGTCCCTCACACTTCCACCAGCTAGCTGGCCCTGGTCCTCATCTGTTCTACGTGTAGAATGGATAAGCAGAGCCCCCGCCCCTAGTCACCAACTATAGCCAGCAAGAATTGCTTTCTCTTGTCTGTCTTGCAGGGCAGAGAGCGCCACGAAATTCAGACACCACTTCTATACCAACATCAGTGGACTGACAAGCTTCGGTGAGGTGAGGACTCTTGTACCATACTCTCTCTCTACCCTGTGTGTTCCCTGCAGATCCTTGTACACACCTTTGCTCCCTGACACCCTCTGCTCCCTCCCAAATCCAATTGTCCCTGCAGAAAGTAGTAGAAGAAATGAACCGCCTGGGCATGATGATAGACTTGTCCCACGGCTCAGACACCTTGGTGAAGCGGACCCTGGAGGTGTCTCGGGCTCCTGTGATCTTCTCCCACTCAGCGGCTAGAGCTGTGTGCGACAATTTGCTGAATGTTCCTGATGACATCCTGCAGCTTCTGGTGAGCAGCCAACTGGGCCCTCAATCCCAAGACTAAGTACACTTCATCTGAGAAACTCACTCTGTAGACCAAGATGGCTTTAGCTGCCTAGAACTCGTTCTGTACAGGACAGGCTGGCCTTGAACTCACAGAGATCCACCTGCCTCTGCCTACCAATGCTGGGATTAAAGGCATACATCACCACTGCCTGACTTTTTTCCATTTTTTGAGACAAGGTCTCATTATTTGATTCTGGATGCCCTGGAACTCGATATGTGGACCAGGATAGCTTTGAACTTGCAGAGATCTGCCTGCCTCTGCCTCCCAAGTGCTAGATTAAAAGTGTGTGCCAGTACATTTGACTCATTTTGAGGGTCTTAAAGCCAAACATAATAACACATGCCTACAACCTCAGCACTTGAGAGGATGAGGTAGAAGGATCATGAGTTGAGGCCAGCCTGGGCTACATAGCAAGATCCTATCTCAAAAATTCAAAAAGGAGCGCTGGAGACATGGCTCAGAGGTTAAGAGCACTGACTGCTCTTCCAGAGGTCCTGAGTTCAATTCCCAGCAACCACATGGTGGCTCACACCCATTATAATGAGACCTGATGCCTAGAACACTATATACATAATAAATAAATTTTAAAAAAAAACATTCAAAAAGGAAGTAAAGAACGGGGAAAGAGTCTTGTTTGTTTGTGGTAGGGTCTCTTACATAAATAGTTCTGTCCTGTCCTACCTGGACCTTATACTAACTCTGCTTTGGCCTCCCAAGGGCTGGCCTTATATGTGCCATCATATCTGACTGGGAGGAGAGTTTTGACCCTGAGTAAAGAATGCTATTGGCTGACTAACCTTCTTCCATCTTTGAAACCAGGTCCAAATCAGTTTTACCCAGGGAGCCCCAAACTCAGGAGAAAACATTCTTCCAGCCGCTGCTGGATTGCTGCCCTGCAAGCATCCTCCATTAAGGGAAGCACAGTAGCAATCCAGTGGGGCCGGGCTGACTGCCCCTTTTCTATCCCCTTAGAAAAAGAACGGTGGCATCGTGATGGTGACACTGTCTATGGGGGTGCTACAGTGCAATCTGCTTGCTAATGTGTCCACTGTGGCAGGTGAGTCCCATCTCAACTCTTAATTTTAAAAAAATGTTCCTGGGTATTTTCCCTACCTGTATGTCTGTGTACCATGTGTATCCCTAGTGCCCCACAGAGAAATGGAGGCTAGAGGGGATGCCAGGTTCCCTGGAACTGGAGTTACAGGTAGTTGTGAGCCACTATGTGGGTGCTGGGCATTGAACTTGGGACCCACTGAGCCGTCTCTCTACCCTGATTCCATACATACCTCAGCTCTGTGCAGTTCTGACTTGAACTCTAGCACATGCTGGGTAGTGGCCGACCTTCCGGGGACTGTAAACTCAGCTCGTCACTGTCACCCAGATGTGAGCTGGATAACCGGCCAGGACCCAACTTTCCATTTAGAAATGCTCCCAGTTACTACTCTTCCACCAACCTCTGCTTTCTAGATCATTTTGACCACATCAGGACAGTCATTGGATCTGAATTCATTGGGATTGGTGGAGACTATGATGGATCTGGAAGGTGAGTGCTGTCCCTGGGCTCCTCCTGGGCTGGAGGCAACAGCAGAAGTTTTAAGCCTTAGGTCCCCATTCAAGAGTCGGCTCATCCTCAGACCTCACTGCCAGCTCTGGTCTTCCAGTCCCCATCTCCTCTCCCCACTCCTAGGCTAAAAGAATCTTGGTAATGCGCCCTCCCCAGCCCAGCTCTGTTGTGGGCTGGGTATAGTCACAAGAACTCAATCTTTAAAGTCTGTAAATTTAAAAGTCAATCTTTTAAATCTGTAAAGTCGTGTTCACTAATCTAAAAAACTTGGTCCTTAGTTTTGGTCTTATGTGCCTGGGGCTGGTGGGATAGCAGGCGCTAGACCAGAATTAGGGGTAAAGTCTCATGGTGGATATCTGCACAGGTTCCCTCAGGGGCTGGAGGACGTGTCTACATACCCAGTGCTCATAGAGGAGTTGCTGAGACGGGGCTGGAATGAACAGGAGCTGCAGGGTGTCCTTCGAGGAAACCTGCTGCGCGTCTTCAGAGAGGTGGAACAGGTACATGGGTTAAAAGGAAAGGATAGTGTATTAGTCATGCCTCTCTAAAGGGACAGAACTGATAGAGCATACACACACATACACACTACATACATACATATGTGGGGTGGGGACATTTGTGCATGGTTTCCAGGCTATGGTCCAGGTAGTCCAACAATGGCTGTCTCCTGCTGGAAAGGCCAAGAATGGAGTAGTTGTTTAGTCCACAAGACTGGATGTCTCAGAAGTCTCAGTCTAGTGCTGAAGTCCCAGAGGATTCCTGGAGAGCTGCTGGTCTTCAATGTGAGAATCCCAAAGAAGTAGGCTCTAGTCCTAGAGAAAGAATACCTCAGCAACAGGGTAGATGAGCCCTCCAGCTAGTGAGGGCAAGAAGGCGAAAAGCAAAAACTCCTCCTTCCATATTCTTTGATTTGGGCAGTCACCAGGTATTGGCCAGGATTTAGGGGGTGGGTCTTCCTAAATGAGATTATCCAATCAAAAAAAAGTTTCAGGTGCCGGGCAGTAGTGACACACAGCTTTAATCCCAGGCAGAGGCAGGTGGATCTCTGTGTTCAAAGTCAGCCTAGTCCATAGAGTGAGTTCCAGGACAGCCAGAGCTACACAGAGAAACCTGTCACAAAAAACTAAAAAACAAAACAAACAAACAAAAACCCAAAAATGAAAAAAAGACTGAAAAAGAAAAAAAAATCTCTGAAGGTAATAGAGATGGCTCAGCAGTTAAAAGAGAGCACTGGCTGCTCTTCCAGAGGACCCAGGTTCAATTACCAGCAGCCACATGGCAGCTCACAGCTGTCTGTAACTTCAGTTCCAAAGGATCACAGATTCCTCACACAGACATACATTCAAGCAAAACACCAGGGCACATAAAATAAAAATAAATAAATCATTAACAATGTAAAGAAACAAAGAAGAAATCTCTCACAGGATTGCCCAGTTGTTTGGGTTTTACTTGATTACAGTTATAGTCAAGTTAACAATCAGGATTGGTCGTCACTAGTTGGCGGTGGTGGCACACACCTTTAACCCTAGCATTTGGAGTCAGAGGCAGGCAGGTCTCTTGGGTTCAAAGTCAGCCTGGTCTATAGAGTGAGTTCCAAGACAGCCAGGACTACACAGAAACCCTGCCTCAAAAATTAAAAAAAAAAAAAAAAAAGGGAAAAAAAGGGGGGAAAAAGAAAGATTGACCATCACAGATAGGTGGTTCACTAGTGGAGCATGGGAGGGGTGGGAGTGTCTGTTTTACTGTGACTCCTTCCCTCAGGTGAGAGAGAGAAGCCTGGGGCAGAGCCCTCTGGAGGTCAAGTTTCCAGACAGGCAGCTGAGTAGCACCTGCCATTCGCACATCCTGACTCAGCCCCAAGAGAAACACCAGGACACTCACTTCAAGGTGACCAAGAGGCCAACTAATCAGGTCCTCCGGAGGGCCTCAGAAGCTCCCCCATGCCGTGTTTCAGGCCTCATGGCTACTGTCAGCTCCCTAGCCCTCGTCCTTTGGCTTTGGTGATCTGGCCACAGGCCAATGTGGCAAAATCCACAAAGTTCCCCTCCTCACTGCCCAGGCCCCAGTTTATTTTGAGAATAAATATTTAAAACATTGAGCCAAGTGTCCAGGGCCTTTCTTTATTGTTGGGATTAGGGTCAGAGAACCCCTGGTGAGGGAACCTGTGGCCATGGTCCTCTGGACAGGCAGAGACAATTCACCAAATCCTGAAAGCAGGGGCCCATACAACAGCGTAACCAAGGATCACTGGGACAGTAAATTAGGGTCCCACTGAAAGGTTATATTTTTGTTTGTTTTAGGGGTTTATTTGTTTTGTTTTGGAGATCAGTGTAGCACAAATTCTAATTGGTCTTAATAATAAAAACCCGGAGGCAGCTACAGGGAGGGCAGGCAGGGGGAGAGGCAGGGAGAAACAGAGCAGCCAGCCACTACAGTTCTTAACTCTACCAATGCTCAGACCAAAGGGACAATCCTGTCCCTTTGAATCCTCAGACTCCTGTGTGTGCATTTGTGTGTGTGTGCCCCCCCATCTTCCAACTCCCCATCCCATCCCCCACCTTATATTCCTCTCTCTGCCTAGCCATATCACTACTGTCTCCACCTCCCTAACCTGTCTCTTTTTCTTTGAGACTGGAGCAATCTAGTGTAACCCAGCATGGCCTTAAATTCACAGAGCTCTGTCTGTCTCTTGTCTCCTGAGTGCTGGGATTAAAGGTGTGTGCCACCACTGCCTGGTCTCTATGGATAACTTGTGGCTTAGCGCTTCACTCTGATCTTCAGGCAAGCTTTATTTGTTAGATCACAAACAAAATCTCACCACAGAACAAGTCTATGTTTCCTAAGCTGGCCTGGAACTCCTGGGTTCAAGTGATCCTCATTCCTCTGCCATCCAAGTACTAGAATTTTGAGTATGTGCCATCCTGCCTAGCTTTCTGGTTCTCTTTACTCCATATAAAAATCAGCCTGGCAGCACTCAGGAAACAGAAGCAGGCAGATCTCTGTAACTTCGAGGTTTGAGACCAGCCTGGTCTACATAGAAAGTTTAGGCCAGCCAGGGCTGCATAGTGAAACTCTCTCAAACAAATATCAGTCCTGGTCTACGTATGATGACTCAAGCCTCTAATCCTAAAGGCAAGAAGATCATCCACAAATTCAAGGCCAGACCTGTCTATTCCAGGCCAGCTAGAGATACATAATAAGACCCTTCATCAAAAAAAAGAAAAAGAAAACAAGAAAATTCTACAAGATAATTATAGGAAAACAGTTCCTTCCTGAATGTGGAGACACTGGACAGAAAAAGCAGGAAGTGTTTTTGCCCAGGTGAGATACAGGGCCGACTGTCCTGAGTATTGCAATTGGTGAGGGGCAGTGACAGTTCTGTTCTCATGCCCCCGGGGATTGCTTTCCTGCCTGTCATGAATGGCAAGGGGTGGGAATGAGGGCATATTTCTCTTACCCTTGCCATCCCATGGCATACGAGGGAGGAGGCAGGGGCAGCTCTCCTGCTCTCACGCCCACAGACCTAGCCTACCTGTGCCCCTGCCAACGGGGTCAGCTCTGGTATGCTGCCCAGGTGAAGTGCCATGCCCGCTCTCCCATGTGCTGCTGCTGGGGGTGGGGGCAGGTTCAGTTCTCCCATTCTCATGGCCTTGGGGCCACCTCTCTCACCTGCCGCAGGTAGCAAGGGGTGAGGAGAGAGAGGGCATTTTACTTCCTCACTCATGCCTCCATACGACAGACAAAGAGGGGCAGGCTCAGGCCTCCTGTTCTCGTGCTCCCCAGGCCTTCTCTCCTCAGTGTTGCTGCCAGCGGGGGCAGGATCGGCTCTCCCATTCTCAAGACTATGGGACCTGCAGTAGGTGGCAAGGGGTGGGAAGCAAAGAGCAAGGGGGGGGTATCTCTTCCTCACTTGTGCCACCGAGTGACAGACCATGGGGCTATCTCTCCTGTTCTGGAATATTCAGGGTCTGCTTACCTGCACCCCCACCAGCGGGGACAGCACTATTTGGCTGCCCCGGGAAGGTGCAGGGCCAGTTCTCCAGAGCAGTGCAGTTGGTGGGGGGCATGGCCAGTTCTCCCTAGTGCTGCAGACAGTGGGGCACAGGACCAAGTCCGCGCAGCCCTATCTTCACTGATTTCAGTGGCAGCAGGAGCCACAGACCAACGCAGACTGAGGCTGTGACAGGGCCACTGACCCAGACATGGTCCCCTGCAGTAGCCTAGGCCCAGGCGGCATCGTGGTCCTGGGTGGCAGCGCAGGCTACTCAGATCTGCATGGCCCTGGCAGAGGCTCAACCTTTCGACACTAACCTGGCCCTAGGTGGTCGCCCAGGTCCCTGACGATCTAGTGGCATCAGTACAGACCCCTCATGTGATCGAGCCATGGGCCCAGACATGGTCGTGGGCAGCACCTGGGCTCAGATGTCACCATGGTCCCAGTTGGCAGTGCAGGTCAACTTAGATCACCCAACAGCAGCATGGCCCTCGAGCCCCCACAGCCCCACGTGTAGGCCCAGATCCCAGGCATCTGTACTGCCATTGATGGCAGCAGGAGCCTCGGACACCAACACAGGGCCTGTCTGTGTCAGGGCCACAGACTCAGCTCAGGCCTGTGCACCCTGGCCCCGGGAGGCAACACATGTTACTCAGGTCTGTATGGGCCTAGCAGCAGCATAGTCCTCGGGCACCAAGAAGGCCATGGGTGGAAGCCCAGATCCTGGGCATCAGTGTGGCCTTTGGTGGCAATGTAGGCCTCAGACAACACAGACTCAGGCTGTGGTAGGATCATGGACCCAGACATGGTCCTTGGCAATAGTCTGGGGTCAGATGTTGTAGTATGAGGGGCCGGCTTGTTGGGGTTTCTTGTCCTGCCCGGTACCCCACAGCTGGCAAGTCCCAAAGAAAATCACACACAAGACTCCATAAGATTATAAACTGATTGGCCCATTAGGTCAGGCTACTTATTAGTTCTTATAACTTATGTTACCCCATTATCCTTATCTACGTTAGCCACACGGCTCAGTACCTTTCTCAGCTGGGCAGCTTACACCTTTCCTCTCCGGTGGTCTGGGCAGAACTGGAAGAGGGAGCTTCCCAGAATACTCCCAGTCTTCTTTGCTCCACCTCTACTTCCCGTCTGGCTTTTTCGCCTATACTGCCTGCCTGGCCAATCAGTGTTTTATTAAAATATGATTGACAGAATACAGACAATTCTCCCACACCAAGATGTCAGCATGGCCCTAGTTGGCACTGCAGATCACCCAGATTGGCATGGTCCTAGTGGCAGCATGGCTCCAAAATCCAACGTTTACCCAGGTGGCAGCCCAGACCCCAGGTATCCGCTTAGCCTTTGATAAGTAGGAGCCATGTACATAGACCCACACCCTGGCTGCGGTAGACTCACGAACCCAGACATGGATAATGGCCACATTTTGGGACCAGATGACACCATGACTCCAGGTGGCAGCATGGGCCACCCAGGTCTTTATGACCTGGGCAACAGTTTGACCCTCTAAGACCAACATAGCCTCAAGTTTCAGCCTGAATTGTGGACCTCTGCACAGCCCTCGGTGGCAACAAGAGTCATGGATATCAACTCAGAGTCCCGCTGTCGTAGAACCATGAACCCAGACACGGCCCCTGGCAGTAGTCTGGGCTGGACATCACAACAGTCCTGGGTGGCGGCACAGGAATACTGGATCGGCATGGCCCCTGTGGAGGGACATCTCTTGGACATCACCTTGGTCATAGGTAGTGGCACAGACTCCAGGTGTCCACAGCGCCATTGGTGATAGCAGTCTGGCTAATAAAAATTTAAAAGCAGAGCCAAATGTGGCATTTACCTTTAATGTTACCACTCAGGAGGCCAAGGCAGGTGGATCTTTCTGAGTTTGAAGCCAGTCTGATCTACAAGAGCTAGTTCCAGGACAGGCTCCAAAGCTACAGAGAAACCCTGTCTCCAAAACAAAACAAAACAAAACCAAAAAAAAAACAGAAAACAAAACAAAACAAAAAAAGCAAAACAACCAGGCCAGGTGTGGCAGTCCACAATACCTCTAGTAAACACCTCTAATGGTACCAGTTGGAGGCTGAGGAAAGTGGGTCTCTCTGAGATCCAGGCCAGTCTTGGCTGCATAATGAGTTTCAGGCTAAAAGGCTACATAAAGAAATCCTGTCCTCCCCCTCAAAAAAAAGTCAGGGCTGGTATGGTTATCCATCAGACTTAACCAAGTAAGTCTGGAGACCTAAGTTTGACCCCAAGGACCCCTGGAAAAACAGAGGAGAGAAATGACACCAGAAAGTTGTCCTTCGACCGCCACACTTGCACTGTCATACATGCATACACATGCATGCATCTGTCATACATACATACATGGGCACAGCATTTTAAAGACATTGGGAAGATGTTTAAATAGAAACTTTACAAGAAAAATATCAAAATTTCCAGTAATAATATAAAAAGGTATTAGTCATTAGGAACCCCAAGATTACTCGTATGTATCTCAGTGGTAGAACATAGGTTTAATATGGGTGAAGCTCCGGGCTCAGGTCCCAACCCCTAAAAACAAATTCAGGTCTTAGTTACTGTGTTATTACTGCAAAGAGACGCTGTGGCCAAGGCAACACATTTAAGAGAAAGCGTTTAACTGGGGGCTGGCTTACAGTTTAGAGAGTCCACCCTCACTATGGTGGGAAGCAGACAGGCACGGCACTGGGGCAGTAACTGAAAGCTTTACTTCCTGATCTGAGACAGCAGGCAGAGACAGTAAGACCGGGCCTGGTAAGGGCTTTTTAAACCTCAGCCCACCTCCAGTGACACACCTCCTCTAACAAGGCCACACCCCCTAGTTTGTCCAGAACAGCTCTACTTCCTGCGGATTTAACATGCAAATATATGAGTTTAGGCAGGCAAGGTGGAATCCCAGCACTAGGGAGGCAGAGGCAGGTGGATCTCTGTGAGTTCAAGGCCAGCCTGGTCTACAGAGTGAATTCCAGGGTCTCCAGGACTGCGATAGAGAGAAACCCTGCCTTGAAAAAAAACAAAAAACAAAAACAAACAAAAAACTATATATGAGGGGGCTGGAGATACGGCTCAGA